ATTGGGCCACAAGAAATCTGATGAGGTTCAACAAAGACAAGTGTAGAGTCCTGCACTTGGGACGGAAGAATCCCAAGCATAGTTACAAGCTGGGGACCAACCAGCTAAGAAGTAGTTCTGCAGAAAAGGACCTGGGGGTTACAGTGTATGAGAAGCTAGATATGAGTCCCCCCACTATAAAAAGGATGTGGACACATTGGAGAGGGTCCAGTGGAGGGCAACCAAAATGATTAGAGGGATGGAGCATATGACTTATGAGGAGAAGCTGAGGGAGTCGGGTCTGTTTAGTCTGCAGAAGCGACGAGTGAGGGGGGATTTGATAGCAGCCTTCAGCTTCCTGAAGGGAGGTTCTAAAGAGGATAGAGAGAGGCTATTCTCAGTAGTGACAGATGGCAGAACAAGGAGCAATGGTCTCAAGTTGTGGAGGGAGAGGTCCAGGTTGGATATTAGGAAAAGCTATTTCACTAGGAGGGTAGTGAAGCACTGGAATCGGTTACCTAGGGAAGTAGTGGAGTCTCCATCCCTAGAGGTGTTTAAGTCTTGGCTTGACAAAGCCCTGGCCGGAAGGTTGGATATTAGGAAAAGCTATTTCACTAGGAGGGTAGTGAAGCACTGGAATCGGTTACCTAGGGAAGTAGTGGAGTCTCCATCCCTAGAGGTGTTTAAGTCTTGGCTTGACAAAGCCCTGGCCGGGTTGATTTAGTTGGGATTGGTCCTGCCAAGAGCAGGGTGCTGGACTTGATGACCTTCTGAGGTCTCTTCCAGCTCTATGGTTCTATGATTCTAAGTCAACAGTAGACAGGCTTCCATTGACTTCCCTTACTCCTTGCGAGGAGTAGGAGTATCGGCGCCAACAGGGGCACCTTCAGTGTTTGATTTAGTGAGTCTTTACTGGACCTGCTAAATTGAATGCTGGAAAATCAACCTCCATAGTGTTAATCTTCCCACTAATGGAGACGTGGCCTAAGCAAGGATGCGCTTTTCCTGGGCTGACACCTCCATATCACCTGGTCAGATTACAGCTGGGGGAAAATGTGCCAAATATTAAAAATTCTGCACAATATTCTAAAATTCTGTACATTTTATTTGTCAAAATAATATAATCACACTAGTTTCAATTAAGGTACTTTTATTTCAAAATATCTGTTGGCAAGATGCGGACAACAAAAAAGATTCTCCTGGGAGTAGAGCATTGAAAGAAACCCCTATAAAAGCCCAGTTCTTGTTTTTATGTTATGCTTTGTTCGGTGCCTCAGTCAGTTGCTCACATGTGCCAGCTAGATAAATTTTGGGGGAGGGGGAAATCTCAGACATCCACAACTCCCCCCCCCTAAAGCTGAGCCACAGAGCATCCAATGGCCCACAAATCTGCAATCCTCCCCCACAGAGCCCAACCTCAGGGAGTCACCAGGCCCAAAACTAGAGGTCACCAAATTAAATTAATAGGTAGCAGGTTTAAAACAAACATAAGGAAGTTTTTCTTCATGCAGCGCACAGTCAACCTGTGGAACGCCTTAGCAGAGGATGTTGTAAAGACCAAGAAATAAATAGGGTTCAAAAAAGAACTAAATACATTCATGGAAGGTAGGTCCATCACTACTTATTAGCCAGAATGGGTAGGAATTGTGTCCCTAGCTTCTGTTTATCAGGGGCTGGAAATGGATGACAGGAGGGATCACTTGATGACTACCTGTTCTGTTCACTCACTCTGGAGCATCTGGCATCGGCTGCTGTCGAAAAACAGGGGCTAGATGGGCTTTTGGTCTGACAGTATGTCTGTTCTTGCGTAACTTCCAGCTCAGACAACTCACCTCCAGCCATGGGGTGTGCCTCAGCTCAAACACCTTCAGAGCTCAATGATCCAGAAAGAGAAACAGCCTGCATGCTGCCTTCCTTCTTTCAGGACATGCTAGGAGATTCAGCTACCCAGACTCCTCTCCCTGCCCCCTTCAGTGTCCTATATTTGCGACTAGTGACAGCCAGCAGTAATGCAGCTCTAAATTTGCAGGGAGAATGAAATTCTGTGCAAATTCTGCACTGCACAATGGCACAGAATTACCCACAATTCTGGACCTCACAAATACTGCAGACTAATCGCCTATGGAATTTCTCCCATGGGGGAAAAAAAACTGAGGTAGAAACAAATGTTGTAAAGCAGGAAAACAATTTCAATTTTATGTT